AAAAAAAAACGATTGGTTGTTTTTTTTTTAATGGATAATTTACCATCAATTGGTGATCGTAATACACAAACGATTGTATGTTCATTTTGTGATGATATTATACTTCGTCCACAAACAGCTACTTTAACAAATAAACCAACATTATTACCACAAATGAATATTGAAAAAACTCCATCATCAGATACAGAAAATAATCGTTTATCAATCAATGGTAATGATCATGTATGTGATTCATTAGAAACATTTTGGCTTGTATTGGATATGTTTACATTTGAAAATGTTGGTTTTTCAAATACAGTTAATAATCAAACAAAATATCTTGTTTGTGCTAATTGTGAACGTGGTCCAATAGGTTTTTCTCCAATAAATCCATTAACTAGACAATTAGAAAAAGAATTCTATGTTGCTTTTGATAGAATTAAATATAAATAATTATTGATAATATTTATTCTATTGTGCATGAAAACAAAAAAACAATTATTTTTTTTTTTTTGGTTAAACCAAAGGAGAAAAACGAATTTTTTTTTTCAGATGACGACTCACAAATGGGATATGAAATCAAATTATATGCTTACTTTTACTGTTTGTAAATATGGTTTAAATCCAGAACAATGGGATATAATTGCAAATGATTTAGCTGAGGATATTAATATAACACCACAAGTAAATTTATTTTTAACTTTTCGTTTTTGTTAAACACGAGCTAAAAGAAGTGTTGAAGTATAGAAGTAGACATTTCAATCTCCCACAGATATCTTAGCAACAGGTCATTACAGATAGAGTTACCAGATCAAAAGCTAAAAAATTAGAATTGTTTTTTTTTTGTGCAAAATCAAAAAGAACGATTTTATACGAACTAGTAGCTATTATGTTAACATGTTGGCACGAAATGCTCAACTGAGTTTCTGTTCATTGATTTATACTTTATTTTCAAACGTGTGTCACTACAAAGAAAGACACTTAGTGTCGAACTCTCTCACTCAAATCAAAATTCATTCACATTTTATATTTTAATCTTGCAAGGATTGTGCTTACATCTTTTTCTTTTTTATTTTACAGAATTGTAAAGCACAATTTTATTTATTATGTCAACAATATGGTCAAGATTGGTAAAGAAATATTTTCTCGATTTTTATTTCGAAAAATTTTCCTTTTTTTATATTTTTCCCAAGGCACAAAGAATCACTTGAGCGTCTTGATATTCATATTTTTTCAATAATAAAACGTCTTTATTATGGTGATCTATGTGAACGAATGACTGAATCACGAGATTTACTTATGGTTATGTATGATTTTATACGTTTATTTAAACGTGGTCGAATCCAACCAAACGATATAAATGAAATTTTACAAGATATTAAAAATAGGTATTATAAAACTATCTTTTTGATGTTTATTTCTTGTTATGAAATTAAATATTCTTTTTCTTAGTGCTACAACTTATAATAGTACACAAGATAATGAACGAGAACAAAAAATAAAAATGCTTGGACGTCTTAAATTACATATGACAAGACAAATATCTCAAACATCAGATGTATATTTAATTTCATTTTAGATAATTTAAAATTTCTTTTTTCTTTTTCTTTTTAGTCACAAAGTTCTTCATATCCAGTTGAATTATTACCTCCACCACCATTTTTTCAGTACCAACCAATAGTAACAAATTATATTTCTCAAAAACAATCAATTGTAACAACAGATGAAAATGATCGACAAGTACCTTCAATAGATAATCATAAAAAATCTGATCAAATCGAGATATCATCATTTCCAATAATTACACAATCAAATAATATTTTTATTGAAAACAAAATACAACCATCAAATAATAATAATAATCAATCAAATGAAGATGATATTGATGAAATTGAACTTAGTTCAAATGATGATAATGATCGAACAGAAACAGTACAAATGTCTAATATTGATGAATCTGTAGCTAGTAGAAATTTAATTACGGATCAAGATGAATCAACATTTATGTCAGTTGAACACGTAGAAACAAATGAATCATCCACAATACCACCAATGCCTATTGAAGTATCAAATTCAAATGATAAAGATTTATATGATATTGTAAGTAGTACTGGTATTAGTAATCAATCAACATCTGATACTAGATTATCAGCTGAAGACCGAGCAACATCAAGGTATATTTATTTCTTGTTTTTTTTCCTTCATTTATTAGCAAAAGAAAGAAAATAACACATGATAATTTTTAGCATCAACGAGCTGCTAACACCATCAAATCTTCAATTTAATACAAATACTACTAGTTCAAGTGATTATTCTACATTAGATAATGATCGAATAGAATTAACAGAAGTTCAAAATCATCATCCAATTGAAACCGAATCAATTGTAACAATATCGAGACATATTTCTGTTGACGATAATGAAATTAATGAAATGGATACTGAACATATTCCAGATGATAATACTGATGTTATAGTACTAAATAATAATGATAATGCTAGTTTTGTTGTTGATGAAGCAGTTTCGAATATAGATACATCTAAAATTTCAATTTCATCAAAAACTAATGAAAATGATGAATCAACAATGACAGGAAGTTCAAATAGAAAATCACGGTAAGAAAATTTTACGGAAAAAAAAATTAAACATTCTTGTTTTTTTTTAAAGCTTGACAACAAATTCATTATCACATAATTTTCGTAAATCGATTATATCAATTCTTAATAATTTAAAAACTGCTAAGTAATATAAATTTTAATTATTTTTGTTTTTTTTTACTATATTTAATTATTTTCTTTTTTGTAGATATGGATCTGATTTTGCTAAACCACTTAAATCATTTAAATTACCTGATGAATATTATTATCGTATTAAAAAACCATTAGATATACCTGAAATACGTGAACGTATGTATAATGGTGATTATGATGATAATATTCTTTTATTTGAACGTGATATTTTATTAATGTTTACAAATGCTTTATCAATGTATCATCGAGATCTTGATATTCATGATCATGCACAATATATGATAAATTATGCTATGGAATTATTTTCAGTAAGAAGATTTTATTACTAATTCTTAATTTTTGGTGTTTTTTTTTTGAATACTTAATTATTGTTAATAAATTCTAGCCTATTGAAAACATTCGTACTCCATGGAAAACTGATCAGAATAAAAATGATGATGATGATGATGATTCATCAAATTTAGATCATCCTAATAATGAAAATGATAGTAATGATAATACATTGAATAATTCGTCACGTATACAAACATCTTTGATATCATCAATGAAAAATCTTCGACATCAAACAACATCAAATCATCCAATGAATAAACGTCAACGAAAAACGATTCAATAATTCTTATTCGTGTTTTGTTATACATCTACTGTCTCTTTCATCATATCTATGTTTTTGTTTTTTTTACATATTTGATTTTTGTGTATATACATGTGAATAATAATTTCTTGTTATGTAAACAAAAAAAAAACAAATATGTTATTTGTTATATTCTTCCTAATATGCACCTGTATTGATTTGAAATGATTGAAAAAAAATAATGATAATAATACGGAAAGAAAAGAAAAACCAAAATTTTCTTATATTACGAAAAAAATTAAGAAAAAAAAAAGAAAGTACCTATTCAGGTACCAGACAATTACGATCTATATTTCCACCATTACTATATTTTAAATGAACGAATGGTTTATTTGTTGAAACACCTGTAGGTTTTGATGTATGCGCAGAATGATGATAACGTTGTGCAGAATTTTGAATCTTTTGATATTGAATTAATTGAACAAGAGGTTGAACAATTTGTTGTTTTTGATGTTGCTCTTCAGAACGAAGAGTATGTGATGCTGATGGTAGAGATCGTTTAGAAATACGTGGCGGAGATATTTGTTCAACTCCATTAGTTTTACGTTGTAAGACATTATTTGAACTTGAAACATTTTCAGGACTGTCTGATCGAGTAGGTAAATGTGATGAAATTTTATTTGAATTGTCAATAGGAATATCAAAGACAACATCAAGTGTTTTACTACGTTCTAAATAACGAAACGGATCATCATTTTTCTTTCCAATAACTGTTGGTAAGAGAGAAGTCGATATAGAAGCTGATGTTCGACGATTTTGAAAATGTTTAACAATAGAAATTAAACGTGTTTGAGGTAAAATATCAGAATTCGATGGTTTACGATGTGCTGAACGTCGGTCAAGTGTTTTTGTATTTGTATTTGTATTTGTATTTGTATTTGTATTATTGTAAACTCCAGCTGATCGTGGTGGTGAATTATCACCAAGAAGTTTTTTAACTGAAACTGCTAGATAATCAGAAGACGTAAATGATGCTGAATCTGATGTAGGAGGTGATGGAAGAGAATGATCTAAGAAGAAAAATCTATTATTTTGTTTTCAAGTAAATAGAAAAAAAAAGAAAAACCTACCTTTCATTATCTGTGTATTATTTTTTGAATCATTATGTGATTTTTCAAGTTGTAATTTTGCTTGTGTTAATTCTTGATGGGTTTTTTTAATCATTGAATATTTTCTCATAAGTTCATTTAACATTAATGAATTACTAGATCCTAATGTATCTTTTTTTTCATGACTAGTATTTGTTTGTTTGATATTTGCAAGTAAATTTTTTGATGACATAGGTTTTTCTGATTGAACAGATTGAACTGTTTCTTCTGTACGATTTGTTGAAGACGATTGACGACGAGCATGTGGATTTTTACGTTGATGTTGAATACTTTTATTTGATATTTTACCATCCGATTTAGTTGTATGAACACTTTTACCTGAACGTGGTCGTTCTTCAGATTGATCTGTTAGATAATCTTCATAATGATAAACACGAGGTATAATAAGAGGATCAGATTTTTTTGAAGATATTTCATCAATTGATTTTGTTTCAATATTTGTTGGTGGTTTTATTATACTTGATCGACGACTTTTAATACATATTGATTGAGGTGATTGAGATTTTTTTTCGATTAATTTAGAATCTGATGGTGTTATTCGACCTATAATATTTCCATCAACATCATTATCATCAACATCATCATCATCATCAGAATCAGCTTTTGGTAACCAAATTTCTAATGAACATTTTTGTTTAATATTACCATTACGTGAACAAGTTTTTTCATAAGTTATTTTATCAAGTGGTCCATTACTAAGAATTTGTTGAGATTTAATTTGTTTTTGTGATGATGATAATGATGTACGTATATTTGTTGTTGTTTTTTTTTCATAATTTGATAAATAAGTTGTTTCATTTACAGTATGATTTGATTGTTGACTAGTTGAATTAATATTTGAAATTGAAATAAGATATTTATCAAGTTTAATTCGTGCAGCTACTAAACGTTTCAATGTAGGTGAATTAGCACGTAAAATTTCAATATTAGGTCGTACTAATGTAGCTAATTTTGATGTATCATTTATATTATTAGATCCATAGAATACATGAGCTATATCATCTTTTATCCATCGATTATCAGTATTCGTACGTAATGCTTCTGTATCATGAGATACTCTCGGATCAGTACGATGATATGAAGGAACAGATATACCACGATCAAGTGAAGTTAATCCTTTATTTTCTTTTTAATAAAAAAAAAACAAATAGTAAGATTTTTTTTTCTATCTTTCTGTGCAGGATGATATTGAAAACAAATATCTCAAGGAAAAAAGAAATACATTAATACTTACCTTTATTACGTTTCGTTGTCATTTAAAAGGATAAAATAAAATTTTTTGAATCAAATCTAATCATTTTTTTTGCTTTGTGTATGATTCATGAAAATGTCGATTTTGAATGTTAATTCAACATATGTATCCAGTTATATAATTTGACGTCATATGCATGAATGTTTTTTCAAAGTTTTTAGTTATAGGTAAGTAAATATAATTCTTTTTTTACTGTTTCATTTAATCGACAGTATTTTTTTTTTCTTCAACAATTTTGTCCGAATTGCTGTTCTTTTGTTTGTTTTTACATTACTTCATATAGTCGTTCACTTCTTTTTTTTTCTTTTTTTTTAAAATCATTGACATTTTGATGTATGTTTTTTGGGCTTGTCAATGTTTATGCATAACATTTTACAAACTATGTATATGAAAATGTTATTGAAGTCTTATAACAAAAAGATTGAGAAGATTTCGTTTTTTCTTTGTTTTGACCAAAAAAAAAATGATAATCAACATTTAATAATTATACAGATTAGTCTTCATTAATTCTACGTTATACTTTGCTGTTTTTTTTTCAGTAAAATAAAAACAGGACAACTATATAATGTTGCAATTATCTGTTTATCGTGCTACTTTTATATCATGCACCAATTTTAGGTTTTTTTTGTTGTTGCTGTATACCTTTAATATATGAGCCAAAACGATTGTTATATCTGTCACATCATCGGTTGATAACATGCTAGACAAATGCTTTGATAAGAACAGAATAGTATTAAATAAGAAAGTCCTTGAAAAAGAAAAGAAGATATCAAGTAAGTATTTGACCATGAGTAAATATTCTTTTATTAGTCGTAAGTACATTTTATTCAATGTTTCATGCAGACAATATTCTCGTACTAGTAACTTATACATGTATATATTTGAGAGTCATGCTTTATCATTTTCGAAAAAAATATATATATAAAGATTTTGCTATTGTTGAAAACAAGGATTAATAAAAGAAGAACTAAAATGATAAATATATATGAAATAGAGACAATGCTAACTAAATAAAATGGAGTTCACTTAGTAAGTACATAGTGCATACTTTATTTTCCCTTTTCGATAGAAAAATAAAGTTATTTGATAACTTATATTTTTTCATATTAATTTATGATATTAGTTAGTATTTTGATTTTTTTCGTGTACAAGAATTTTGTGGATGTTTTATAAATGTCTTCAAAATGTTGTCATTTTATCAAAATCAAAAGTAAAGAGCGTGATACACACGAAAATGTGTCACTATATACATTATCTTAAATCTACAATTCAACAAAAAAAAATATGCATGTCATGATTTAAAACCTCTTGATAGTAAATATTATTTTTCTGATCTTGCATTTTCTTGATACGAATAATGATCAAGATCAAATTTATATTGTAATCTTCGTTCTGATTTTACTTTCTAAATATATTTTTGCCGGATAAATTACACGGTTAAGACATTTTTTAATATCATTTACAGCTGAAGAATCAATATGAAGAGTAAACTTGATAAGCAGAACTACAACAAAAATTCACCTTGTCATAATATGACAAGCAAAAAGTGCAGAAGAACCATTAACATAGCAAAATATTTATAAAGAACATCGAAAGAACTGACTAATATATTATAATATTGAAATTATAAACTGTTTTTTAGATGTTGAAATTTATCTTGATCTTAATCTGTATTAAACTTGGATATAGTTATCCAGAAGATGCACCAAATAGTACCTGTATTACAATGATGCTTTATCATAATGTTGTACCAAAACAATGTCAATCCAAATATATTATTCAATCTGAAATATCTGAATATAATATTAATGATATTATTCGAAGTAATATTAAACATAAAAGAAATTGTATCGAATTACAAACTTTTCTGCTCAAGAAATTTGACTGAACTTTATCAGTCTACGAATCAGCATGGAATCTTGACTACTTATTACAAGTCTATTTTGTATTTTACCATCACTCAATTTTTTTTTATCCTTAGATCTGCCACAGGTATAGAAAAACTTTTTTTATCTATGCTCCGTTGAAAGTCCTTGTAGTTTGAAAGAATCGAGTGTGCTGATTATAAACGTCATGTTTTGTTTAAAATTAGCCAGATAATAAAAAAGAGTTGATTGCTACAATTCGGTAATATGCCTACAAACCATCGTATTTTCAGTCTTAGCCTGTATGGGTGCACTAGCGAGGCTTTTTTTTTTATCGAATGTGTAATTCAATCTGTTCTGTCTGATGAGATTATTGCCAACATGCAATTTTATATCTAGTGAGCCACTTTTGCTTCTAAACTAAGATCTATAAAAACCTGTAAAAATGACTCAGTTTAGAGAACACAATGGTTTTAATAAAAATATGGAATTTCATGCTGACAATAGTCACATTAGAAAGAACACATTGAATTACGCATTCGATAAAAAGCATTCGTTAGTGCATTCAAATCGAGTATAACATCATAAAACTGAAAGCATCACTATTTATAAATATATGATTCAATTGGGACAGTATTCGAAATTTATCGTTAGGAAATAGTTTGGATATTTGCAAAATTTTTATAGATTCTAATAGAAAAAAAAATTTCTGCATCAAATAAATTTATGTTCGACGAATCTAAATAAAATTTTATTAATCTTTTGAATGCAAAACTGATTTTCAAGTCTCTCAAAAAATTCTTCAGCTCTTTTTTTATTATCTGACTAGTTTTGAACAGAAAATGTCATATTTGTACTCAGCACACTCGATTCTTCTAAACTGTAAGGACTCTCAATGGAATATTGATAAAAAAAATTTTCTATACCTGTGGCAGACCTGAAGGTCAAAAAAATGAGTGATGGTAAAATCCAAAAAAAGCCTTGTAAAAAGTAGTAAAGATTTAATACTGATTGTTAGACTAATAAAACTGAGTAAAATCTTTTGAACAGCTAATTTTGTAGTGTGATATAACTGTTTCAATTTATATTGTCGTTGTTGTTGTTTTCTTTATTTCAGTTACTGTTCGTAGTTCAACAAATATTGATTATTTTAAAAGAATTCTTTTAATTGCAAAAAATCAAAATAATCAACATATCATTGGTACTTGGTCCATAACAAATTCATTAATTAAAACAATTTCTTGTAATGGAATAGAAAATACTGCTATAACTCATTCATCAGATGATGATAAGTTACAAATCGAAGCATTATGGCATGCACCATCAATCATATCTGAAGAAAAAATCATCATTGAGTAAATATCTTTTTGTTTCTTCTGTACATATAAGTATATTTAAAAAAAAAAACATAAAAATATAGAGCAACAATTGTTACATCCAATGATGAAATTTATGTCGATTGTTTTAATATTATACTAACACCTAAACAAGTACAGTTGTTTTTTTTAATACTTATTCAATAAGATTTTTTTTTGTTTTTCTCTTGACTGTATTCAGACTAATTTATTACGTATTCAATCAATAGCAACAGATACTGAAAGAAGTATATTAACAAAAACAAAAACAAATATAACATGGAATTATATTGAAGACACAGTAACAGTAAGAGTGACAGCAGGACTTATGAATGTTGGTGAATGGGTAGCTATGGGTTTTTCACTTGATCGAGAAATGGTAAGAAAACAAAAAAGAACAAATTTTTTCTTTTATTTTTTTTTATTAATTAATTTTTTCTATATTAGGGTGATGATTATGTATTTATATGTCAAGTTTCATCAACCGGTAATGCGACACTTCGACGAATGCATACTAAACGTGGCAAACGACCGTAATTAGTTTTTATTTTTGTCAAATTATTTTTTAATATATTTATAGTTGTGTTTAATAGTCCATTACCGTCTAGTGTAGAAGTAAATGTAATTGATACAACATATGAAGATGGTTTTGCTATTTGTCAATTTTCATTTAACACAACTTCTCAACAAGTTGATGATGAACCAGAACCAATTGTCATAGAAAGAAATTATTATCTACTTTTTTCTGGTGGAATATTAAGAACAGATGGTATAGTCTTTTAGAAAAATCTTATTATGAAAATTTTGATCGATTTATTTTTATCATAATAGAACAAATAGCAAAACATAATTTTACATTTGTTTCAACTCAACCTTATCAATTACAAAAGTCTCAAATAATTAATTTTGATGAACCTTTGATTACTACTACTACAACAGTTCCACAAACAAATGATGTTGGAGTTGATATTAATTGGACATATGCTAGTGGTATAACAAGTGTTAAAATGAAAATTAATAATTTAAGAACATCTCAATGGCTTGCATTAGGTCTTTCACTTGATGATTTTATGGTATCAAATTTGTTTATATTTTACAAAATAATATATTTCATTTTTTTGTAGGGACAAGATCATGTATTTATTTGCCAACATTTAAGTAATGATACAATATCTCTTCAACGTTTTATTAATCCAGGTGGTCATTCACGACCAGTTTTAGCTAGTACAATAGTCAATCCAGGTGGTAGTCTCAATGTTACTCGAGAGAAATTTGAAGATGGTATAGCCTATTGTGATTTTACTCTATCAAATTTTGTTGATACATCACGGCAATCACGTCAAAATGATATTCCTAAACTTTCTCAAACTGCTAATTATCGACCACTTATAGCTTTTGGAAATTTAGATAGTTCAAGTAAGTTTATAATTTTCAATATATTTTCTTCAATAAAAAAATTTTTCTATTCATAATAAATAGATATATTAATCAGACATGCACAGGATTCACGTATACCATTAAAACGAGATGTTTCTCTTAATCGACCAGAAACAATTGTTTATAATGTACAAGCAACCGGATCGGGTTTAATGAAAGCACATGGTATTATTATGTCATTTACTTGGATAGTTCTTGTTTCAACTGGTATTCTTATTGCACGTTATTTCAAATCATTATGGCCAAATAAAAAAATATGTAATAAAGCAGTTTGGTTTGCCATTCATCGTACAATAATGACTTCTGTTGCTACATTAACATTAATTGCATTTATTCTTATTCTTGTCTATAAAAAAGGACAATGGGTATCACAACATACTCGACTTCAATTTGTTCATTCAATAGTTGGTATACTTGTCGTAAGTTTTTCTATAATTCAACCATTTATGGCATTATTTCGTTGTCATCCAGAGGAACATAATCGTTTTATATTTAATTATGCACATGCAACTGTTGGTTTTAGTGCATTAACACTTTCCGTAGTAGCTATATTTTTAACAATGTTTTTTACACAGTTTGAGTTTCAATCGAAGAAACAATGGGCTATTTTAGTTGTATGGACATGTTGGTTACCGATTATATTTAGTATATTTGAAATAATTGAAATTTATTTTCGAAAATTTTCATCATCAAAAGGAAATTTAAATTCATTTGATATGAATGATCCTCGTGGAAATACTACAACACAAACAGTACCAACACCAATAATACAAAATCGTAAAAAAGATCGAATTAAACAATTTGCTATTTTAATTCATATTTTAATCGCTATTGCATTAGCATTAACATTAGCCATTCTTATTGGACAATCGTAAAACTATTGAGAATATAAAACTTTTTCTATACATGTATATTGTAATATGAAGTCTATTAATATATTCATTCATTTTTTTTTCAATTAAACAATTAATATATATAAGAAAATAAAACGAACTTTAATCCAAAAAGAATCAATTAAATACTTACACATATTTTTTTGAGTAAGAGATAAAAAGTATAATGTCGATATTGTTGGAATTAACTATAGATGTGCGACATATATCGATATCAAAATCGAATCGAAAGTTTTTTATATGAATTTACAATGGAATGATACTACATCTATATTAAAGATGGTTAAGCAACGACAATATGCTATATATATACTCGACTAACTAAAATCGAGTCAGCATCTCAAATTTATAAGATTTCAAATCCTGAATAACAAGTTTCGAATTAGACATATTTCTTACTTTTGTACTTCGAAGATGGTCTTAAAAAACTGAACAAAACTTAATTTTATCTTATTTAGTAATAAAAATGATTTCAAATCATATTTATTTTGTCTTGTAGTTGTACAAAAAAAAAAGATAAAGTACTATTTCAATAAAACTACCAGATAAATTTAATTGGATATATCGTAAACATACGTAAAATTCTTATGTATCATTGTCAAATTCAAACAAAATCTATTCATTAGTCTAGCAAAAAATTTGTTTAGTTTGACAATTGCAAATCTCAACTTCCTAAATATAAATTCATTCTATTAATGAGAAATTATCAAATATACAACGACTGTCAAAAGTCTCGTAACACTATATTTTCAAGTCATGTATTATACAAAAATGTTCACTGTGCTCCTTAAACAAAACTTTCTGATTTGCATAAAATTTGGAAAGTTCATATCGTCTCAATTGTGGTGAGGTAAAATAACAAAAGAGGTAATCATTTCTTATATGAATATCGTTGAAATATGAGTTATGTAATCTCATGTTGTCACATTGTTTTTTGTTCCTTGATCCATATTTCAGAATTGGAGAAGATCTATATGAATAATAAATGTATCTAAGAACTGTGAAAACATAGAAAATTTTATTTCTTACAGATTTGTTTGTCGACTGCCTTTTTGGTACAGCTAATCGAGCAATTTATATTATTGAAAATGCATGTGAGACTAGTTCGTTCAGAAGCAGTTTTTATTTTTCATACTATGACAATAAATCATTTATAGATAATATGTAACTGACAAAAATAATCTTCTATACTGTATTAGCAAGGTAGAGAATTCTCTCTATTAATAGAAAATACTCTATTTATAGCATCGAACTTGATGAACACTAACGCACATAAATTAATAAAAATCTGCAAAAAAAAATACGAGATCTTAGCTAAACGATTGAGAAACTATCAGTCGTTGAAAATCGTTTAATTAGGAAAATTTGGTTTGAAAAAAAATAATCATTTTCAAGCAAAAAGTTCTATATAGAATCAACTCTATTATGTCCTGCATCTATTTGGATGCGATCATAAGATTTTTTCCTGCCATGATTCTCTTCTCTTGTTCTCGTTGTCTCTATGATTAGATATATGTGTTGAACTTTTCCTTTCCCGTCAATATATAATGGGTTTTTTTCTTTCCTTCTGCTCTCTTTTGCTTGGTAAAGTGGTTAAATGTCGAAGAGAAAATGTCGAAAGTGAAAATGTCGAAAAAAAAATGCCGAAAGTAAAAATGTCGAAAAGCAGGATGTCGAACAAAAAAATGTCGAAAGTTGTGAATGTAGAAAAACAAAATGTCGAAAGTGAAAATGTCGAAAGTGAAAATGTCGAAAACACTAATAGCATATATTTAGTCATCTCTTTTATTGACAAGAATCTTAGCAAATAAAGCACAAGTCAAAAACTATTCCAAAAAAATAGAGATGAAGAAACATTATATGAATAGATTAAGATAACAAAATTTGACAATAAGGATAACTATTTTAAGAGAAGAAAAAGAGACAATGAATAAATTAAGAAACAGAACTTGGCAGTTGAATATAATATTGAAAAAGCTATTTTCAATTCATTTTTTTTGTTCATATCTTTTGCGACGATCAGTGACAAACCTTCGAGGTATTCATTCAAATCAATTTCATTATTTGGAAAATGTCTGCATAAGACATCAAGACGTTCTTGGATGATGCAAGTTCTTTTTGACTTTTTCTTGAGCAAACCGCTTTTAGCATGGAGAAGTTGCTGTTGAAAATGAACTTCTTCTCTCTTGAGTACATCAATAAAATGCCAAATATTAGGATGTATATTTGACCTTGGGACATGACTTGTTTAACTGATATACAAATCCATCACAAATAACCACATGTTTGCCTTTGTTACTTTGTGAAAAAGTTATGATAGGTGTATTACTCATGTTGACATAAGCAAAAAATATAGAAAACAACTTGATAAATGTCTGTAGAAATGAACGCAAGCTGCTATATATATATATACAACTCAATAATTAATCAATATCGTTAGATTCTCTTAGCGAGACAATGCATCGTCAGTTGATAGAAATTTGTTCGAAGACGTCATGGACGTCTCTTTATTTCATTTTTCTCTTTTCGCCATTTTTTCTTTCGACGTTTTATTTTTCGTCAATACGCTTTTCGACATTTTTACCTTTCGACATTTTCATTTTCGCCATTCTTCTTTCGACATTTTCACTTTCGACATTTTTTTTTTCTACAATCTGCTTTTCTACGTCATGTTTTTCTACATTTTGTCTTTCGACGTTTTCCCTTTCGACATTTAACCACCTATTCTTTTGCTTTCACCGTGCTCTATAAATTTTCCACTTTTTTTAAAAATATTATATACAATTAGATAATGAGACCAAACTGAATAACTATGATTTATATGAATTCAGTAAGAAGAGGAGAATAAATGATAGTTGAATAAATAATTAAGTGTATAATTGTCACAAAACACATTTGAATTTTATCAAAATTTGAGAGTTTATTTTTTTCAAGTTTTTGGTGAGTATGCTCACCATCATCAGAAAACAATAATTACAAAACAGAATATAGAGAACTATTATATGTATATAGATCGAACCAAACTTTATATATATTCTCTCTCTTTATTCAATAACATTATTTTGTTAAAAAAAGTTTAGTTGAATCTATATATATGTAATAGTTCTCTATATTCTGTGTTGTTGTTAGTGTTTCCTAATGATGATGGGCATGCTCACCAAAAGCTTGAAAAAAATAAACACTCGAACTTTGATAAAATTCAAATATGTTGTGTGGCAATTATATATTTAATTATTTATTCAACTGTCACTTATTCTCCTCTTCCTGTTGGATTCATATAAATCATAGTTATTTCAGTTTGGTTTCATTATCTATTTTGTTTTTTGTTTTTTTGAACCTATTTATGGCATCTATTCAGTAAAAACTGCATCATAAGGAGAGGAAATAACTCGTCAAATCTGATATCATCTCGTACTTGTCTCACGGAGACGTGAGATGGTGTAATTCGCTGATTTGTGGATCTCTGGTGGGTACAGAGGATAGCTACACGCACAGACACTCATCCACTCACACCCTAGGTACTACATATCGCTGTGTATAATTGTGTTACGTTGCATACGATGAATTTATAGTTCATTAAAACTTCGTAAAACAATATTCATCGATTTCAAGATTTTAATGAATATATTTCTTCTGTGTTTATATCACAATTATTAACAGAGATAATGTCATCGGTTAATATGCCATTTAAAACATCGTCCTAAGTACTCAAAGCTCATAAATATACAGTTGAGTGGGAATTGCTCTTTGTTTATATATAAACTAATTTTCGTTGAGGTCCAGAACTTATGAAACACCCTTTATGGTGATAGACGTTTAGAAGAATGTGTTTAGAAATGGTAAAGTAATTTCGATTATTATTAAATTATTTTTCTTAAGTTCAGTTTGTCAGCATCAATTAAAATCTTCTCATGAATATTGTATTCTATACTCGTCACAGGAAGCAGTTTGTGTTTTTAATTCATTAAAAAATTCAATTTATTGGAATGTTTTAATAAAAAAACAAAAGAAGAAAGAGTAGAGATAGTAAATGTGAAACCAAAAAGAAATTGATAATTATGATAATCTTTATGAAGATAGACTACAGAGAAAAGAGTATCTTCTTGATGAAATGTATTCATCATCAAATAATTATTCTCATAATTCACATTGAGAAAAATCTTGTCGTCATAAACACCATCGCACATGATCTAATACTTGTTGTATTTGTTCAAGTCAATCTCTTAATTTTTCATTTAAATAAATGACTTACTATTTTTTATATTATTTTAATTAAAGATGATCGATAATTTCAAAATACTGAATATTCTACTAACATTAATGACCCTCAGTTACATTTAAAATGTAATGGAGATAATTGTTCTATTTGTAAAAAAAAAAAAAGGTTTTTCATGTTAGTTTCTCCTTTATTGAGGTTTTTTATTTGCAATTTATAAATGAAAGAAAAAAATAATCAGTCAATAGGATCGTTTTTCATGTAATTTAATGAGTTTGATCAAAGAAGAAACTTAAGCTGTCAAAAAATAAGACGATTTAACAGCAAAGAGTTTTTTTTGTCAAAAATTAGTAATGAATTATTTACGTTATGATTCTTTGTTCATTTCAAGGTTAGGTAAGCGAATGTACAACAAACAATCTATAAGCTATCATTGTCGTAAATGAATGACATTAGACACTTGTTTAATTCAAGTTTGTATTAGATTACACGACTTTAAAAATTCTATATAGTGAAAACTGTCATGAATAGTTTATGATTATTTTTGAATAATGAAGAGAACCAATGTGAACATTTATATTAATTCATATTTCATTCCACTTATGATAGTATGAATTGAATTTATACTCCAATATGGAATGAATTGAAATATTTCTTTTACTCACAACTATTTGCATCATGAATAATTGATTTTTATCATAAAAAAATTATATTTTATTTAACTAAAATTCTATCAATGATTGATTATACGAAAAGACCGAAAACG